CGTGATCACACAGGTTGATATGTTGTTCCATGTGGGCTTTGTTGCTTCTGAGCTAGATGGCTGCTTGTTTACCTTCAAGCTTTTAAGACCCCAGACGCTGTATCTTTTGATAGCTGGGCACCATCGCATTATACTCTTAGAAGCATAGTATACAGAAGAGAGAATGGCCCTTCAGAAATATGAGGAATCTTACAAATTTATGGAAAAGTAGAATTAACAGAATGGAATTTATTCCCATGAACCCTTAGAAACAGCTTTCATAACTGTTTCCTCTTAGTTAAGCCAGTCAGGGTGCAGTGTAGCACCAACAAAACATACAACTTTCCTCTAGTTTTGATGCTTCCTCTCACACACCCCCCCACACACACACACCCCCACTATCACGACCCCAATTCTACCTTACAGATCTGGTTACGTCAGAGCATGTACACTGGTACAGATAAGAACTGGAAACACAGGGAATCCAGGACAGACAAACCCATCTGGACCAATAATGAGAGTAGCCATACCAAGAAAGTCAGGGGAAGGTGGGGGGAGAAAGGGAGAACCAATCACAACGATCTACATTTAACACCACCACTCCCAGGGGGACAGACAACAGAAAAGTGGGTGAAGGGAGATAGCAGTCAGTGTAAAACATGAAAAAAATATATAAATTATCAAGGGTTCATGAGAGAGGGTGGAAATGGCTCAAGGGTTCATGAGAGAGGGCTCAGTAGAAAAAATGTTTTGAAAATGATGGCAACATATGTACAGTTGTGCTTGACACGATGGGTGAATGGAATATAATAAGAGCTGCTATAGCCCCCAATAAAATGATTTTTTTGTAAAGTGAATGAACAGATTAGAATTTACCCAGAGTAATCGCTTCTCAGCCTTTTGGCTAAGATCACGTGTAGTAGAATTTACCTGGAGTAAAGCACCTTGAGCAGATTCTTTGCAGGCTGAGGCTGAGGGCTCGTGTTGGACTGCTAGCGGAAAGGGCAGTGATTACAACCCACCAGCCACTCTGTGGGAGAAAGGTGGGCCTATGTGCTCCCATAACGATTTACAGCCCCCAAGCCCTCGGTAAAGTCGGTAGGCGTGGAATGGATGCACTGGCAGTGGGTTGGGTTTGGCTGGTTTGGAGTGGCCCAGAATCCTTTGTGTTTCTTCCCCCTAGGTTATTTTACATGGTGTACAGAGGTCATCTGCCTGTCATTGCAATCTTTTATTTCTTAGTTGTTTTCAGTGATATTTACTACACGTTATCACTTTATTATGTGTACGTGATATCACAGAAAAGGGATTTTAATTTACTTTGACTGTTTAACCAAAACCTGAGACTGAGCTCTAAATGAGTATGGCACTGTCAGATAGACCTGTGAGGTATTCGATGTCTCTGGGCCAATCAGTGGTTGCTATGTTTATATAATCTCTTACTGAAGTAGAATAGGCCGTGATCTTACGGCGGTAAGTACCCTTTGATGTGAAATAGATTAGTCAACCTCTATATGTCAAAATGATTTTTTAAATCTTTTCTCTGTATATTATGATGCTTTCCACTTTTGCACATATTTTTGTTTTCGTAAATTTAGTTATAAAACACATTGTATGGTGATTTGTTGGGGTTTCTTTTTAACATTCTATTGGGGGCTCTTACTGCTCTTAAAGCATTCCATACATCAGTTATATCAAGCATATTTATACATATGTTGACATCATTTTCTAACATCCAAATGATTCTTTAGAATATTGGCTAGATAGAAAGTATTATATTTGGGGTGGGGTGAATTTTTGAAAGTTACTGAGGAGCTTTCTAGATAAGGCCATATTTAATTACCCCCTTCTGGCCTCTTACTCTGCTCATTTTTTGGCCTATTTCACAACACTGGACTGAACAAAACAAGAAGGCTTATTGATTCCTTCAAGCGATTTTTGAGCACTGAGCAAAACAACTTATTCAGGCATTTAAAGCTATCCAAACTGCAGATAAGTTGAAATCCTTTGTTGGGTAAAATTTCACACTGGAAAACAGGAGATAAACTCATTGTAAAGTTTATCGCTGGCTTGGGATTGTTATCTTTAGTTCAAGAGCCAAAAGCAAGTTATTGGAATACTTGGAAGAATGGAACGTTGATTTTTACTATTTTTTACTTTACTTTTATAAGTAGACTGTTCATTTTCATTATAATTATGTCATATTTTCCATGTGCTAGTTTTATTCTTAAGAAAAACATTGAGTTAATATTTCTATAGCTGTAATGTCATAATGTTCAGTGGGCAATATAAGACAAATCAACGTAGTAGCATTTTTATTGTGTAATGTGGGAATAGATAGGTTCATTCAGACTTTTCTTTCCCCCTTCTTAAGTATCTTCAACTCTGATGT